CAAAACTTTTTTACGATGGTTTCTATCATTAGTAAACATTTTTTCAGTTTTTATTATTATATATAACATTAAGAATCTTCGTTAAATTTATATTTTCAATTTATAACTCAATTTTTTTTTAACTTTTTATTCTTGCTTATGTTTTGATGTAAAAAAAAGTTTTAAACTTGTAAAAGATTCTAATGGTAAGATCATTACGATTTTCTTTCAGAAGTCTTATTTGTATGTTTTTGTAAACGACGACTTGTGTAAAAAACCAGAAAAAAAAGAAGAAAAAAAATTTTAAGAACTTAGAAATGTAGACTTGGAAAAATTATTATTTTTTTACATATTTTTAATAATCAGAAATTTGAAAAGTCTTATTTATAACATTTATTATACTAATAATGTAGAACAATTCATAGTTATTCTGATTGGTTTATTCCTATTATTTTGAAGAGGAATGTCTATAAACATTTTATGGACAAATAATGTTGATAATATTACTTGAAGCATATCTAAATACATCCAGATTGATATTACTGATTTTTTTTCGTTATTGACTTACCGGTTTTTGCATTTAACCTGGTGGTTTTTTGCCCGAATCTGATGGGTTTTTTCATTTAATGTGGCGGTTTTTTGCATTCAAATTACCAGTTTTTCTTTATCATCATATTCCATATCATCATTTAGAAGGGAAAGCAGTATAACCATTTCATTCGAATTTATCATTTTCCTCATTGAATCTCCTCTCTTCCTCTCCTGAGAGAGTGGGGGATCCGGGTAGAAATCCCACGGGCAGCACGCTTGTGGGATATCATCAGAGGTTGAAAAATACTAGAAGTGTTTTATTATTATTATTACTTTGATTGTGCTAAGGTCATCCAATAAATTTTTACCTAACCCAAGTATTATGAAGTCTCAGTGCGCACCTATATATATATATATATATATATATATATATATATATATATATATATATATATATATATATATATATATATATATATATATATATATATATATATATATATATATATATATATATATATATATATATATATATATATATATATATATACGCTCGCAAAAGTATATATATATATATACTTTATATTTTGCGAGCGTTTATATATATATATATATATATATATATATATATATATATATATATACGCTCGCAAAAGTATATATATATACTTTATATTTTGCGAGCGTTTATATATATATATATATATATATATATATATATATATATATATATATATATATATATATATATATATATATATATATATACGCTCGCAAAAGTATATATATATACTTTATATTTTGCGAGCGTTTATATATATATATATATATATATATATATATATATATATATATTATATATATATATATATATATATATATATATATATATATATATATATATATATATATATATATATACGCTTGCAAAAGTATATATATATACTTTATATTTTGCGAGCGTTTATATATATATATATATATATATATATATATATTTATATATATATATATATATATATATATATATATATATATATATATATATTTATATATATATATATATATATATATATATATATATATATATATATATATATATATATACGCTCGCAAAAGTATATATATATACTTTATATTTTGCGAGCGTTTATATATATATATATATATATATATATATATATATATATATATGTATATATATATATATATATATATATATATATATATATATATATATATATATATATATATATATATATATACGCTCGCAAAAGTATATATATATACTTTATATTTTGCAAGCGTTTATATATATATATATATATATATATATATATATATATATATATATATATATATATATATATATATATATTAGGGTGGTGCTTAAAACAACTTTTTTGAGAAAAACCTGCTGGTACCCCCCTAAATGTGTTTTATCTAATACAAAAACACTAGGTTTAAAATTTTTTTGAACAAAAAATATTTTTAGGGGTAGCTCAAGGCGCTCAAAAATTTAACGGGTCCCTAATATTTTAAAAAAAAAACTTTTTCTAAAGTATGTCAACCTGGTACTCAAAATAAGCAAAATTATATAAAAAATTTAAAAATGAAAATAATTTTTTATAAAAATAATTTTTTCAGGTATAAATGCATAAAAACTATTGTTTTTAAGCTAAAAATGAAAAAAGTCAAAATTTTCAGGTTTTTTGAGAATAATTTTTTAAGGCATGTTTTTTATGTAAAATGATTATTATTTTTGAAGTTTTTATATAAAATCGCTTCTTTTGAGTACCAGGTTGACATACTTTAGAAAAAATTTTTTTTTTAAAATATTAGGGACCCGTCAAATTTTTGAGGGCCTTGAGCTACCCCTAAAAATATTTTTTGTTCAAAAAAATTTTAAACCTAGTGTTTTTGTATTAGATAAAACACATTTAGGGGGTACCAGCAGGTTTTTCTCAAAAAAGTTGTTTTAAGCACCACCCTAATATATATATATATATATATATATATATATATATATATATATATATATATATATATATATATATATATATATATATATATATATATATATATATACTATATGTATATATATATATAGTATATATATATATATATATATATATATATATATATATATATATATATATATATACTATATATATATATATATATATATATATATATATATATATATATATATATATATATATATATATATATATATATATATATATATATAGTCTTGCATGTCTCTTGCGTAGCATCAAAAAATATTTCCCATAAACTGTAGTTTTAAAGAGCGCGTTAATAAACCAGACCAGAAAAAGTTTTGAAAATTAAATTTTTTTTTTTTAATTGATAGACTGCCTGGCCAAACCAAACCCTCAGTCGATGTAGCAGCACTCTCTTGCGAGTCAGGCTATTTGTCAGTCGTTGTAGCAGCACTCCCTTGCGAGTCAGGCTATTTGTCAGTCGATGTAGCAGCATTCCCTTGCGAGTCAGGCTATTTGTCAGTCGATGTAGCAGCACTCCGTTGCGAGTCAGGCTATTTGTCAGTCGATGTAGCAGCACTCCGTTGCAAGTCAGGCTATTTGTCAGTCGATGTAGCAGCACTCTGTTGCGAGTCAGGCTATAAGATAGTCGATGTAGCAACATTTACGCATGTTTAAAAAATGTTTTTTATTAAATCAATAACAAAAACACCACTAATTAAAAAAAACTTTCTAGTCGTTATAATTGCGGTTTTTTAAAATTTTTTAAAAAAACAATTAAATTTAATGTACTTCCGCATAAATTAATTGCTTTGACATTTCGATGACAATAAAAAACAGCTTAAGAGACGAGGTAATTAAAATTGTAGTCGTAAGAGACTTTTTTTACATTAAAATGCTCTTAAAGCGACACTATATGAGTATATATATATATATATATATTTATATATATATATATATATATATATAGTATATATATACTATATATATATATATATATAGTATATATATATATATATATATATATATATATATAGTATATATATATATATACTATATATATATATATATATATATATATATATATATATATATATATATATATATATATATATATATATATATATATATATATATATATATATATATATATATATATATATATATATATATATATATATATATATAGTATATATATATATATATATATATATATATATATATATATATATATATATATACATATATATATATATATATATATATATATATATATTTATATATATATATATATATAAATATTTGAACTTTGACCCGAGTATTTTTCCCTCTTAAAAATCTGTTCACAAAATTTTTATAGGAAAAGCTTACTTTTCATTTAAGGTCATCAGTACTAAATAAGGGCCTAAATTTGACCTTTAAACCACATTCAGAAAGGCACGTAGAGTTTTTCTTATTTAAGACATCAACCTTAAGCTAATTAGTTTTTGTAATGTCCACTTTATTTCCTTGACTAAAAACTAAAAATTTTATTTTAATGGAAAGTGCAAATAATTATATATATATATATATATATATATATATATATATATATATATATATATATATATATATATATATATATATATATATATATTTATATATATATATATATATATATATATATATATATATATATATATATATATATATATATATATATATATATATATATATATATATATATATATATATACATATATATATATATATATACAAATAATTACAAAATAATTAATAACAGAGTCTTCACGTATCCACCGTTATGTGAAAAAAAGTGGCCTAAAAAACTTTGAAAATGTTTTTTAGATTATACGAAAACTAAATCATAATTTATAACCAGAAATTTAATTAAAATTATTGCGTATCAGATAACAAATTTTAACATAAAAGAATGAAAAATGAAAAAAAAAACTGTTGAAAATAAGAACCTTGAAAAAAAACTGTTGAAAATAAGAACCTTGAATAATCTGTTAAATTATCGTAGCGTCTCTTTAGGCAGGGTTAAAAATTTAAAAACTCAAGAATTTTCTAAAGAATCTGCCATTAAAGAAACTATACTTGTCACCTATATTTATTGCTGAATTTAAAAGTGCATTCAATAACTATATATTTATATTTTTTTAATAAACAAGTGTGCAGAAGGTGAAACACAGCGTCCAAACGGCGTTGAACATAACTTTGCGTACAAGTAAAAACATTTGTACTAACGATAATTAATACAGGGAAATTTAAACAGAAAATAGGTTTTATGAAATGAAATAAATAAGTTTTAAGTTAATTTTAATGAAAATTAATTCGAAAATAGTTAACAATTTAAACTTCAATTTAATTTACCTAGAGTAAAAACAATTACAAATATTATTAAAATCACTTTTCTTTATCTTAAAATTTCTTATTGCAAATGTTAAATATTATAAAAGAGAGAGGAAAAATATTTTATTTTAGAATGTATTGTCACATATTTATGTTTTGCACTTTGTTAATTGGTTCGAACTGCAAAAAAAAGAAACCCGACAAAGAATTTTCGATTGCAAACTTGCTGTCGGGCATGGATCCTAGTGAACAACTTATGTTTAAAGAAGAGCTTGAAAAAGAAGTCAAAAAATTTCGTAAGTCTTATTCATTTTACAAAAATATAAGTTGCAGTTGGGTTTTACTTTTTTGGAGGTTTTAAACCTTTGTTTTGTAATATACTAAAAGAGATTTAATACAGAATGTTTTACAAAAAATGTTGAAAAAAAAAATTTTTGCTTTTGTTGAAAAGCAACTTATTTAGTATTCAAGAAAGATAAATTTCTGATATGGAATAAACATAAAACTTGAGTATATCTATGCTTATATCAAATGAGAATGCTTTTCAAAAAATTGCAGTGATTGGAGTCTGGTTACAACAAAAAACCTAAAACTAGTGCCTCTCTTCCATCTCAAGTGTGAGGGCAATAGTTTACTGCGTTTTCTTTTATTACTATTTTAAACAAAATTTAATTGATTTTAAATTTTATTTAGTACTATTTTGGTATTTAAAAATTATGATGTAAAGTTTATAACAACTTTATCTATAATTTAAATATATTTAACTTTCGATCACTAAAATATTAATAGATAGAACTTAAAATCTATCTGTAAGTATAATTTTAGTTTTTAATAGTAGTAATGTAACCAAATCAAATCAATTAAATCTATTTCGAAATAAGCTTCGAAATTATATTTCGAAATAAGCTTCGAAATAATATTTCGAAATAAGCTTCGAAATAATATTTCGAAATAAGTTATAACGTTTCAATAAAAATTACAATAGTACAAGTACTAATATACAGTAAATACCTGAATACCTAATACCTAACTCTTGCTAAATATCTAACTCTTGCTAAATACCTAACTCTTGCTAAATACCTAACTCTTGCTAAATACCTAACTCTTGCTAAATTTTTGCGGTTACATTTAAGATTGGGAGGTGTAGCATTTTGAATAAACCAAATTTGGTAAAAAAAATAAATGTTCGAACTCCATCAACTTTTTTTTAACCACAGTATATATCTCGTATTGCACTTTAAATCAAAAAATATCTACTTTGTTAGTAAATGGTGAAAACAGTGCATAAGATGATCGATAAAAATATTTCTAATACTTTATTATTAAACAAAAAAAAAAATTTGCAAGGTGATTTAAAAACTCTTTTGAGTTTTTAGATCAGCTTGCAAATTATCGTTGAAGAGCATTCAATAAATTTATTTATTTATACTACTTTATACTTCTTTATTCTATTTATATTTTATAAAACTTTATTCTTTTATACCTATATTACCTTATACTATTAAACTTATATTACTTTCTTTATAACTTATTTATATATACTAATTTTCTAATACTGTCCATAACTGAATAAATTCTCAGAAAATCTTAGTGTCAGAGAACTACTATAAAAAATGTAATTAATTCTGACAACAACAAAATTTTTGTCAGGAACGGAACAACTCAAGAACTACTAGCAAAAATCACTTTTCCTAGTTGATCGTTGCTGGTAATCATCTTAAAACAACAAGAAGTGTCCCTTTATTATATTTTTTAAATATAATAAAGGAACAGATATTTCTAACAACTATGATTATGAATAGGGAAAAAGGTTCGTTTAAAGTTATTTAGTATGGGAGAGTTTAGAATATTTAGAAAGTAATGGTTCTTTTTATGTACTCATTATTTTCATGTCATTTTTTATTAGTATGAGTTACTCTCTTTTTCCCCGTACACGATAAAAATCTATATTATTATTCTTGCTTTACAGATGTGCCTGGCTCCCAGAGCAACTCAAAAGCTGGTAAGTTTGTGTAACATTTTAATTGAACTTAATTTAACTTAGTAAACCATCCACTCCTGAGTCACCTGTCACGTCCTCAAATTTTTTGTTACGCAGAGTAACTCTTACTCAGAGTTTCCCAAGTTTAGTTTGAAGAGTTTAGTTAAAGTGGTTGTTAACTTTAAAAACACGGATTTATATATGAGCACTATAAACAATTATACATTACAAAATCATATATATTTTTTTTAAGAAATATATATAAATTATACTTATATTGCAACAAATATGTTATAATAATATACACTATAAAAAACATTTATATAGTATTAGTTACCAATATTCCATTATCAAAGAGAAACTTGGCACCGCGCAGTTAATTAAGCAAATGTAAACTTTGAAACCCGTCTTTATTTTGTTAAACCTGCTTATAAACTATGATTACATAAAATGTGAAAAAAAGTTTTGCTATTAATCTATTTTAAAAGAAACACTTATAACAAAATAAATCGAAATCTGTGTGTAATAAATACCATTTTGATTCGGTTTTAAACTGATTAGGAGCAATTTTTTTTTTTTAAATGTTTAAAAAGCTTTCTCACAAGTTCCGCAATTCTTAATTGAAAAAGAAGCATTTTTATAGAGTATTTCTTTAAAAAAAGTTTTAAAGATTTTGAGGGAATTTTCATATTTTGTTTTAATTATGAATTGTAAAACTAGATCGATATTAAGTTTGAAAATGTTCAAGACACAAAGTGAGAGTGAAAGAGGTTTGCAAGGAACAACTCTGCCCAGGACCGTCCCGAGGGGGGCGTAGGGATGTCTAGCCCCCCTACAAATTTTATTAGCCAGCAAATTGGACACTAAAGTGTCCGATTTAGGAGAGAAAATTGGATTTAGTAGACAAAATCGGATTTATAGTTGGAAATTGGCAAATTTCGGGAAACGGGAACCTTTTTTTTTTTTAAGCTTTAGTCAGCAAAAAACAGGCACGGCATCCCCTCTTTTAAAATCTCTTTGGAACGGCTCTGACTCTACCAGTATCAAATTCGATTTTAACAGCATACTTTTGTTTGCTAATTATTTTACTTAACATAGTGCGATAAGTATTTGTTTATACGATATTGTCGTAAGTTATCGTAACTATGAGTAAAAAAAAATTAATTTTTTAAGGACTTAAAGTTTAAAAGTGGCTTTTAACTCGTGCAAATGTTTTTTGAGATTTTTTTTTCTGCAGAGTTTATATGTTGTTCGATGATAGGTTTTCACCAAATTTTGCTTCTAAACAATTAACTGGTGTTGGCTTTTTGTTAGTTTTATCAGTTAGGAGAGATTTTATAGGATAAGAGGTATTTCTTTTGCTGTGTTTGGTTTGTGAAAAAAGGAAGATTTCGTTTTATGTTCATTCAAAAACAGTTTGTTGAATACGAACTATTTGTTTACTTTATTTAATTCTTTATTTACTACTTGAAAAAGTGTTTCAATATGTTGATGACAATAAAAAAGATTAGAGTAATCTTCAAATAAGATAAAATACACAGTAATTAACCAAGTAAAATAGTTGTTTAAAAAATATTTTTTCTTTTTAAGTTTTTGTAAAAAAGATTTCAACATTTATAGAGTTTTTTTGTCTTCTCAAGAACCGATAAGAAGTGGAATCACGTCCGTGAGATTATTTTTGTTTTGTCATGCATTGAAGTAGGGTAGTCCACTTTAAACTTTTTTTGAAATATTAACCGGGGTTTTTACCTGGGATAAAAACGCTAAATACCAAAATTTATTTCTATTTCGAGTTTTTAAACGATTTTTAAATCCCCCACAAAACATTGAAGGTTTTAGTAATTGGTCATTCCTCGCCAAATGGTCTATCTAATCTCCGGTTTTATTAAAATTTTGTCAGTATGTTGTTAAACACGTTTCATGAACATTACCAAATTTTAGATCAAAATGTTTATTATTTCTAGGGGTGTACAGGATTAGAAATTTTGAATTCCGGCCGGAGCCAGATTTGCCGGAATTATTAAAAAAATTCCAGCCGGAACAAGAAGTATACTTTGGGATTGTCCATAAGGTACGTACGCTTTGATGGGAAGAGTGGGTCTGCAAATGGTGCATATAAGATGAACGGCTGGAACAATTATAAAAGTAAGGAGACACTAAATTGAAAGAAAATATCATAAAATGTTAGGTAGGTAGGTTAAAAGCGTAGGTACTTTTAGGGAGGTGAAGGGTACTCAAAAAAGCATATAGCAAAATGTATTAGAGGAAGAGGAAAGTTGAAATAATAACCATGCGTACTTTATGGCAACTTCTTATTTAAGTTTTTACATTTAAGACTGAAAGTTAAAGCCTGCACCTCAGCATAGAGCTTACAAAATATATATTTAAAACCTAATAAATATGTAAATATAGGAGAAAGGCGCCTATGATGGCATACTTATCTTTAAAGCTTTATTATTTAGTATCCCGAAGACCAAGAACAAATGTTTTGATATGGATACATTCTTTGTTACATATAGAACAATAATAACCTTAGGAGTTTTCATCAGTTTTATTTTCTATTTGTTGTTTTTATTTTTAAAAAAAGCACAAGTATGCCATCATAGGCAACTACTGGTCCTGTGATGGCATAGGGGAGGATGGGGTTGGTTAGCATAAGGGTAACTTGACAATTTCATTTGACCTAAGAGTCTTCCTTTAGAAATGACAGAAACTACGCATAATCATCCTAATTAACACATTTGTGCTTCACAGTAGCAGTGTCAAATTATGCGCATGCGCATAAGAGATAATGCGTTTTATGTGTTTTTTGAACCATAAATTTTTTAGTGAAGTAAAAATTCCTTTTTACTTCAATAACAAGTATGTTGTTTTTATGAAGAAAAAAAGGTTTTCTCCACTCCTTAATATTGCAACACACCTAACTCGTCAGTGTGCCATCATAGGAAGAAGTCATCATTTTTATTTAAACAAGCTGTGTCTGCTTTGTTCAAAAGATAAAATTAAAGTAATTGTTCCACTAAATGCACAAACCATGGAAATAAAATGCATGAAAATTTTATTTCTGCACAGTTAATATTAAAATCACAATATTAAAAATTTAAAGGGATTAAAAATACAACAGCACATCCCAAAACCGATTTTTCTTGATTATAAAAGCAATATTTGTGCACAAAGGACGTATTTTTACTAAATCTAATATAAAGTCAGTATAGACATGTTGGTCTAATCACTTTTTCGCCATAGCCAATATTTATGAAAATATGACCGGTATGCCATCATAGGCGCTATGCCATTATAGGCGCCTTTCTATATATATATATATATATATATATATATATATATATATATATATATATATATATATATATATATATATATATATATATATATATATATATATATAATATATATATATATATATATATATATATATATATATATATATATATATGTTGTTTTTATTTGTTTCTTATAACTTTATTTAATGAAAGTTTTAACCTGGGTAACATTTGTAATTAAAATTAATCCTAAACTTCTAAAAATCCTTATATAATTGATTACTGCAAATAAAGTAACATAGTGTTTTTTAAGAACTTTTTATTTTTTTACCTAGGTTTACCTATAATTTTTCATTGCCCTGTAGCACAATGATTTTTTGATTTAATTTACACAGTCTGGTCACATCTCTTATAAAATAAAGGTTAAAATAAACTCCGGCGTTCCGACCTAAAAAAATTTTATTACGGCCGGAACCGGAATGATCTAAAATTCACAAATTCCGGTACCTCTAATTATTTTTAGGTTTTGTCGGTACTGTTTGTAAGGCTCACCCAAACTTCAATATCAGTCTAGATTTAAATAGTTTTATGCATGTTTTGAAAACTATATTAGTTTGGATTTATAAACTAAAATTAAAAAAAAAAAAATTTATAATAATTTAAAAAATTCCCCCCCCCCTACCCCTTTTATTCTCACTCTTCGAGAGTACGTTAATAAGTTTAATTTACAAAGTTTTTAATGAACCTTATTTTATATACTTTTAATATTGCAAAGTATATCTAAATATGTAATTACTAACAGTGTTTATATTACAAGTTTCAGTCTTGTATTAAACAACGGCAATGGCTCCCATACCAAATAATTTTGGTAAACCTAGTCAAAGTTTGGGAAACAATTTATCTATTAAAGCAAAAGAAACAGTACTCAGCTCAGAAAAAAAACATTTATTAAATTCAATACATATTCCAGCTATTGCTATAAAAAAAAATATTTCCGCTAAAAAAAAAAAGACGTTCTTCTCGTTTAAGTTGTTGGTTTAAATTTTTGGATTGTTGGTTTTTCCTAAAAAGCTTTATAGGAGAAATGCTACCATTGAATAGAGCCATATTGCAAAAAACAATTTTTTTAGAGAGAAAACGATCCTAGAAAAGAAACATTTTAAATCATCTAGTTACCGATATCATTGTGAGCTTTTGGTTACCTGCTAGTATTCCAACGAAGTCTAACAGGAAGGACTGTGCTGATCAGATTCTTTGTTTGATAAAAGAATATGAGACACTGAAAGAAATTCTTGAAAGCATAAGGCAAGAAAGAAAGGTTTAGCAAAAAACTGCATCTTTTACATTGAAACTGGACAGTCTGTTTGATATATCACATACAGACACTTGTACATTGCTGAAACACTCTGGTAACAACAAGTGGCTTATTGACTGGAGATTCATAAAAAGCCAATGAAAGTTTTCTGAAATGGGATCAACGGCTGGAGTAGAAAAAATATTTGCTGAAAAAGAGCGACAGCGTTACGTTAAAACTAAAGTACGACAAAAAAAACAAAAAAAGGAATTATTTCAAATTAAGAAACAGTAACCCAAAAATCTCGAACTTTGCTCAACTATAACTAATGATAATGAAGTCAACGTGGACGCATAAATTTTCTTCAAAAAGAAGATAAAAGAGATAAAAAAATTTCAGTAAAACAGAAAAAAAAACTATCATTGCAAAGTTGCAATAACTCTGAAAATTCAAAAAGATATTATTACTATTAAAAGAAACGTGTACAGTTGCTGATGGATCCGGTATTAGTGAAAGACAACAGCTACTTATTTTGGCGAAGACATTAGCACTAGGTGGATCAGCTTTAAACGATATTACGCTTTCTAAAACATCACTTCATAGAGCAAGATCAGCTAATAGAATTAAAGATGCTAAACTAATTGAAGAAACTTAGATTCCATCTGAATCTTCGGAAATTCATTGGGATGGAAAAACTTTCAAGCAAGCGGCTGGAAAAAATGAAGAGCGATTTGCTGTACATGCAGGGCAACCTCCTAAATTGCTAGGTACGTCTGAAATTGCCGACGAATATGATCAAACGCAATATTGTTAAGTGATGAACCTAGTTGATAAACAACATCTGTTGTTGCACTTGTCTGTGATACAACATCTGTGAACATTGTAGCGTGCAATGGAGCTGCAATTCTAATTGAGAAGCAAATCGGTCGTTCTCTACTCCAACTTTAATTGCGACATCATACTCCAGAGCTCTTTATAAAAGCAACATCAAAAGCTATTTGGGGTCCGTACAAATCACCTAGAGTTCAGCATTTTATAAAGGTCAAGGAAGAATTTCATCAGAAACTTACCAAGACCTAAATCATTCACTCCTTATAAACCGAAGCCTCCGATTATTATTTGGCGCGACAAAGAAAAAGCATGAGTATGGGCACAATTTTGAGGACTTTAAATCTGCAAAAGGTTTGTATGCAATTTTTTTTGTGTCAAAGGTATTGTATAGCGAGGTATCAAGCTTATAGAAGACATCAAAGACAAATGTTTTGATCCAGCAGAGAGAACAACTTGCTTAAATTGTAAAAAACCATCAAAAAAGCTTTAACGGAGTTTATTACTCAAAGAAATTAACTGAAATTTTCAATAAACAAAAAAATAACATTTATGTAACATTATTAATTATATATTTATTAATATTTTAATAAATCTTTTGTGGGATATGTACAAATAAGCGTAAATTAATAAAATTTTGTATAATTATTTTTTAAGGATTAATAATTAAATTGTATAGACCCCACTATGTATCAACAGCAAATAGTGAATAAAAATGTTGTGCAACCATTATTCTAACCTCCAGTGTTTTGTGGGGGATCTAAAAACGTCATCAATTCGAAATTTTTGTGTTTAGCGTTTTTAGATTAAATGTTATTATTTGTAAAAACCCTCATTAAAATTTCAAAAAAAAGTTTAAATGGAGCACCCAGGTACCGAATATTATATGGAGTAGCTTCAGAGTATGGTATTTAAAAAACTCGTGTTAGTATAAATATCATAACTCTTTAGTAACAAGTCAAGTACAAGGCGTCACAAAACCACTAATCTCTCCACCCCCTAGGTCTCAGGGTTATGTTAAAAATGAAATGAAATTTTGTAAATGTTAATTTGCATTAAATTTTGATAATATGAACGTCAACATTATAAAAAATAGAAATAAACTGAATTAATTGAATGTTTTTTTTAATGTAATTTATTTTTAATGACAATTACTATTAATTTTAATACTAACAATAAAAAACAAGCTAATCAAACGATTGTTGACCTAAAACTTAAAAACAAAAGTCTTTTATCTTAATACAAAAAAAACACAAAAAACTACTGCCTTAAAAAATAATACATCCTAAATGCTGCTAAAACTAAAGAAAATTGCGATATTTAACAACAAGCTGATAGTCAAATGGTTTGTAAAAATATTATTCCAAAACAAACCTAAAACTGCTCTAATTTAAGTGACTCGGAAATAGATTTTAGTAAATTGCAAAGACATTATCTTTATTTTTTCTTTTAAACAGTACACAGTTCAAAACTAATGCTAGGTATAAATGGTTTAAGTTCAGTCCCAATTCAAGGAATAAATGGTAAATATGATCTGCATAAGATACTTTTAGAAAAAGTACATCGCTATAAAAAAAATCTTTGAAACGCTTAACCAAAATTTGTCCAAATTTGCTGTAAAGAATGGCTTTCAGGTTTTATATTTTAGAAACTACGCGGTTTAGGTTTTATTTTTTATATTTCACTTGTGGATGCTTATTTTACACCATTTGTCATAATTGCATAAAAATATAAATGACCAGACAAATTAAAAACAATCTGACAACCGGGTTAATAACATAGAAGACAACTAATAAAGTTATAAACTAATTATAAACTTTATTACGAGTTGATGTTGGTTATTCGGCTGTTGCAAGCACGTCATATGTTAATCGAGATAAAATAAGCGAACATCAAATTATCAAATTTATAAGCTCAATACATACATCGACTAATTTATGTACGCTTATTTTACTGTCGTAAGTATTTGTGAAAGTGCGATTCCATTAGTATAAAACAGTTTCAAAAATTAGACAAAGTTGGCAAAGTGCGAATTTAGATAAGCACAAAATTGTGAAGTCAAGTCAAATGATTTAATTTTATTTTATTTAATACTAAAAAAATGAAATACTGCCTTGCCAAATAAAATTCAATAGTAGATGTTTGTATTATACTTGGTTGTTTGTTTCCCTAAAAATCGTTAAATTTTGATGCTTCAGTCAATGAATTCTTGTTCAAACATATAACATTTATTCATTTATTGATAGTGATGATATTATTTAACTGAAAAAACTATAGACCAAGATATTTGCTTGTGTTGCTTGCTTCGAATGTGACCGTTTAGATGCAAGTAGCTACAGGAAAAGTTATTAGAGATAAGTCGAGTCATTTAATTATCTAAAAATATGTTAAAATGGCTTTGTTAGATTGAATAAAAAATGCAAGACAAAACGTTTTATTATTTTTCTTTTATTTTAAATTATTTATAAATTAAAATTTATCAATAGTAAACTATAATTTTTGTAATTAATTACTTTCAAATAATTTATTGTGGAATGAGACTTTGTTATTAAACGTTTTTGTAATCGAGTTTGTAATAAAAACTTAGTGTATGATAATCAGACAGGTACGCAAAAAGAAACTTAGAGAAATGAAACGTCTCCCCGCTTTCATTTACAATATTCTTTTGGTAAAACAAAAATTTTATAAAATGTTGGTCAAAATCTAATGTTAAAATTAACCATAAACACAAATTTAAAGACAAAAATACCCCATCCAACCCAAGTATACAATTAGATTTTCATGTTTTTTTGAATGCCACTTATACATTTTGTTTAGGTGTTAAACGATCCAAGGTTAAAGAAAAAACAGCATTAAACAAGGCTCCAACAAAGCTTAAAGCTTCGATTAAGCAAACAAAACAAGATGCACAAAAAGCATTGGTTGGGATTTGTGATCCAATATGCGCTCATCAATGTGTTCATGGTTGCGACTTTAGATGTTGTATTCCTGGTTACCAGGTCGCTAAGCATATTCCCAGACCTCCAGTAACTGTAGTACTTCCCGGTTCTTGCAGTCCAACATGTTCGCCTACATGCTTCCCTGAATGTTCCTCTACGTGTTGTGCAGGAGGTGCAGGAGGAATGTTTCAATCAAATACTTGTCCGTATGGTTGCTCTAGTAGCTGCTATCCTAGTTGTACCCTGGATTGCTGTCTATTAGAAATTAAAAAGAACTTTCCATCTTCTCCTCCAGTAAGCCAAGTTCCTTATTATGTACAACCACCAGTTCAGATGCAACCACCACCTCAGATGCAGCCACCTCAGCCTCAAAATTATCTAGCCTTAAATCAGCAACTGAATTACATTGGACCATCACCAATTGCGCACGCTACTGCGTTAACGTCCCCGTTAAGAAATTCTTATCCTATATATCAATTGGCACAGCCTCGTATTCCTATTTTTCAACAAAAGCCTATAATATTTCCTCAAGTTAATAGATTTCAGCCATTTAATAGATTATCAGCAGTCATTGCTCCAGTTCCAACTTTTCAAAACCTTTGTGTTCCTGTTTGCAGAACTACATGCACGCCACAATGTCCCATTCAATGCTGCGTCGGTATTTCTCGTGATATCGAAGCAGTCCAATTGAGACAAAATTTTCCAATAGTTCAACAAAATCCATTGGTTTGTCAACCGTTATGTCGAAACTTTTGTTATTCAAACTGCCCTAAAAGATGTTGTGTTTTGAAGAAAAACCAAACTACGCCAATTAACGCGATTTTTCAATCTGAAAGTATAACCTCTAGAGGCCCTCCTCTTCAAAAAGTAACTCTAGATAGTTCATCAAATTTAAAACAATCTATTTCAAACATAACTGTAGTAAATAACACAATTTTAAAAAACATAACACAAAATTGCTGTGAGCCCCACAACAATGATAAAAAGTCAAAGATAGCCAAGCAGCTCGAGTTATTAAAGTAAAAAATGCATTTTCTATGTCCTTCAGAATTTTTTTTATCGTAAGTAGATGCGCATCAATAAAAAATTTTTTAAAAAATATTGAGAAATTTTTACAAAAAATATTTGCTATAACAAATTTTTATATAAAAATAAAAAAGCAGTTTTAGATTTTATTTAAATCTAAAATTAAAACGAACTAAAGTTTTATTAATTTTTTAAACAAAGTTTCTGAGACAATTTTAAAAATAAAACATAACTTAGTTTGGCGGCTTTTTTCCGATTCATAATTTGAACGGAATAAAAAGTATTATAAGATCCTCTTCTTCTTTATTCTTCTTTCTCTTCTTTATGAATAAGATAATAAGTAAAGAATCAACTTAAATAAAAATGTAAGTGTGACCAACGACTTTGTATATCACCTGATCTATGGACACTTACAAAAAAAATTGTATTTTAGGTAGTTGATTACTTATAATATACCTTCTTAGTATTATATTGTTAGTAAACAATATTATTATTATTGTTATTGTTGTTATTACTATTATTGTTATTATTATTATTGCTACTATTATTATTATTATTATTTTATTATTATAATTATTATTAATGATATTATTGTTATTATTATCGTTTTTATTATTAAAAGTAATAGTATTATTGTTGTCATGGCCATGGAGAGAACAAAAGTTTACTAGTGCAGTAATCTTTTTTTTTTTCTTCCCCTACCTTAGCGATGCAGCGAAAATTGTATCAGAATCTTCTTAGATACAGTTGAAATAAAAAGATTCTTAAAAAATATTAAATTTGAAGAGAGAAGTCCATAAAAATATATAAATGATATAAATATTGTTAAATAGAACTGCATTGTTAATACAAGGTTGTTACGCGCTTTTCTCATAGTAGAATTATGAATTACTGTACCAAAGCCTATATCTTTTGCCATGACAAGCACAATACTTAACCTAGCAAAATTGCTAGGTTAAGTATTGGTTAAGGTAATTCTGACTCATAGTGGACCTGAGAGATGTTTCTTTATAACTTTAGGCTTGCTTAAGCTTTTTTTCAGTTAATGCTGCTGTTGCTAATGCTGTAAAGAATACTCTTAAATTGTCAGGTTTAAAAATATACTATATAGTTTTCTCTCTGCCAAAACATTTATCATTTCCAGTGCGTTCCACATGTTTTGTACCAAAATTGGCTGCATGAGCTATTGTTATGTGCTTCGTTTCTTGCACAAGGTCTTCACTAACAACATCTGTAAAATATTTCTTATCGAACATTTTTCCAAAAAAAGCTGAAGGTTTAAGAAACATGTTTTGCGGTGCTAAAACCAGCTGAAACTCCTTGAATAACATTTTTCAATACAACATAAAAAGTTTGTTTTCAGAATAGGGGTTTCGTTCACATTTTATTGAAGAAATAGTTTCTGATATTGTTTCTAAACAATTTTGTTTCTATATGGTAGTTAGATGCAACAAGTTTAGCTTCTGATCGACGAATAGTTATTAGTTGTAAAATCATTTTTTAACATCCGACCGCCACAAATAGTTTTTAGTTGTAAAATCATTTTTTAGGATAATTAAAGTATATTAGAAACTATATAATATAATGAAAAAAGTAAAACTTATTATTTATTTAATTTATTTTAGATTCTCTTTTTTATAATTTTTTTAAAATTTAATATGTTTTAACATTTAGCGAGTTACTGTAGCTTAAGTGAAAATTAACCAACTACAAGTTTTATAATTGCGGTGTATGGTCTTTTCGTAACTTACCACTAACCAACGACAAGTTTTATAATTGCGGTGTATGGTGTTTTCGTAACTTACCACTAACCAACGACAAGTTTTATAATTGCGGCGTATGGTTTTTTCGTAACTTACCACTAACCAACGACAAGTTTTATAATTGCGGTGTATGGTCTTTTCGTAACTTACCACTAACCAACGACAGGTTTTATAATTGCAATGTATGGTCTTTTCGTAACTTACTACTAACCAACGACAAGTTTTATAATTGTGGTGTATGGTCTTTTCGTAACTTACCACTAACCAACAACAGGTTTTATAATTGCGGCGTATGGTCTTTTCGTAACTTACCACTAAGCAACAACAGGTTTTATAATTGCGGCGTATGGTCTTTTCATAACTTACCACTAACCAACAACAAGTTTTATAATTGCAGTGTATGGTCTTTTCGTAACTTACCACTAACCAACGAAAAGTTTTATAATTGCGGTGTATGGTCTTTTCGTAACTTACCACTAACCAACGACAGGTTTTATAGTTGTGGTGTATGATTTTTTCGTAACTTACCATTACATCGCATTTATAAAACCGATATTTTTTGAAAAAAAAAAAAAAAAAAAAACATTAGAATATGGTTTGAACTAATCAAGATCAAATAAAACAGATAATAGTAATAGGTAGTACGAATAAAATTTTATTATTTTATATTCTATTACGCGTGTTACAGAAAAAAACTAAAATTACAAAAAGGGTTCTAGTGCGGCGCATTAGCTCCACCTTCCTCTTATAGCACCTGATTTTTGTTATTACTGATGATCTTTAGTGAATCCAGTGAGTCTCTAATTATACTTTTACATGCTGTTGATCTCTAGTAAACCCATTGAGTCTTTAGTTATACTTCTACAAATTGATAATTTCTAGTGAACCTAGTGAGTCTCTAGTTATAGGTTTACTAATGTATAATCTTAAATAAATCCAGTGAGTTTCTAGTTATACTTTTAAAAATTATTACTCGTAATTTATAAAATTATAACTAAATCACGAAGGGCATCCCATTAGGATAATCCTAATTAACTATTTAAATGTTACTTATATATCACAACAAAAATACATGTCACTGATCTCTTCTCTGCTGAAAGAAAAGTCTACCAAAGGATGTTACAGTTAAAAATTTGTATAACACTAAAAAAATTGGTATTTTTGTTTTTGTCAGACATTTAAAACTTTCTAGATATAATTAAAATAACTTTGGTTTAGAAAAGTACTAGTCGTCCCATTTCCCTCAATATTAATGAATTTCTGGGTTTTGTTGCAGTTAAATATTAGTTAAATAAAGTTTTTACTAGCCCTTCATGTTTCCGGTAACAATTTTTTGTAAATATTTTAGTTAAATTAAAAACAAGCAGCTGATTATTTTTTTTACGCAAAATATTTATATTAATAATAAATAATTATTAATAATTATAAATAATTAATAAATAATTATTTTACCTAGTTTTTGTATTTTTTTCTTTTCAAATCACATTTTTAGTGAATTTTTAAAGGTATTATGGCGGTTCACTGAAAAGATTTTCTAAAAGTGCTGACAATATCATGACTTATATAATCTATAAATCTATCGATATAGTAGCTGGCAATTTACCTTAATCTATTGTTGATGGCGTAGCAACAATTATCATGTTGACAAGTTGATAGCGTGGTCAACAGAATGAAACTTAATAACTCTAAATGTAACATCATTAGAATTTATTTGAGGTGCACCAAAACTCAAGCTGTACTATTTCTTGTATTCCACAATACTAAGTTTAAAATACTTAACAGCCATAAATACCATTAAATCATGCTCAATAAGAATCTTGATTGGGATGAACAACGGACAAAAGTATTAATATAAAAGCATTATATCTACATGCTCTACATTATATTCATGCTCTACATTATATCTACATTATATCTAAATGCTCTTCCGCGGTGCTCTGTGATAAGACCGTAAGGACTTCTTAGGGCACCTAAAAAATCAACATAAAAAAAAAATTATATCTACATCATATCTACTCAAATAATATCTACTCAAACGCGTTAAGTAAATTGGGCACACTTTCAACATGTCTAAGGATCTTACGGTTTTAGCTATTTGGCATATAGTACTCCTGGTCATACTTAGTGCAGTCCTGCTGCAAAAAAAAAAATTGAATGTTTTCATAAAAATGCGCTACACACAATTGGATTAATGTAACTAATTTAAAAGGCTGCAATATTAGTTTTTCCATAGAAGAGTTGCTAGACAAGTTTTGTATTAATATCCTCGAAATGAACTTTGGTGATTCATGCCATCCTGCGAACCTCTACCTCCCAAACAACATTAGGAGCTCCAGTGTCTTTTCAATGCATAAATTTTGTTTTCTTATATCTGCATTTTTTGCAAACTTTTGAAAAGAAAATAAGTTGTTTTGTAAGTGTCAAACAATGTAGAATCAAACATTTGATTTTATACCCCCAACAAATTACGACCAACAACACCATCAACGTCTTCACAAATAGCACCAGAAACTTCATTAATGCTGGGACGGGTCCAGCACTTTTTTGTGTTTGAGATGGTTAATATGACATAGAGCAAACTCCAAACAATTATTTGTTAACACTAATGTGAAAAAAGAATGCTTTGCAAAAAATTGCAATGGATGGAACCTGGGAACAAAAATAACCCAAATACTTTTGCACCTCTTTGCCCCAAACGTGAGAGTAACATGTTGATAAAATATTTTTTGTAATATTCTCAATTAGACTTATACTTATCGATAAATTTTAAATTTCATAAAAATATTTAATGTTCAAAAAATATGACTATATAAAGTTTGACCCCCGTCCCCTTTAAATTTGAGGGGGTTTCAAATTTTATATGATCATAACTTTTATAATTTTTTATAATTTGCATTAACTTCTTTACAAATAGCACTATCTATCAACAGCTGTCATTCATCATTCGTCTACAATATTATGACTGTATTTCAACTGTATTTATTCTCAAGCTAATTGAGGAGAGACGAATGATTGTAGTATTTAACTACAGTCATTCGTCTCTTCTCAATTAGCTTAAGAAGAAATACAATTGGCAAGCCAAGTAATTGAATAGAACTTCAGAAGGTACCTGCAAATAAAAAATCAAAATCAAAAGCCCAAAAAGCGAGTCATAGTGGTAGTTCAAGGTAAATAGTTACAGAATCATTGGCTTTTGAACAAGTGAAGGTAGCAAAAGAGTATTTATAAGCTTAAAAGCAAGACAAAAAGTTTTGCACGAATTTTTCATTTACGTAAAGTTAAGCAATTTACTCAGTAATTGCTCAGCTTTACAATAATAAAAATTTAAGCAAAATTGCTGAAGTTTTTATTCATATAAAACTGACCAATTAATTAGTAAAAGCAATAGCTTATACTAATTAATTGGTCGATGATTTTAGTTTTAATTTTAACTTCGATCCTAGAATGTGATACCAAAAATGGACTTTCAGTGTGATGCAAATAATGGATTTTCAATGTGATGTAAAAAATATGATGTAAAAAATGGACTGTCAGTAGGTCCGCCGCATCCACTATTTCCACTCTTAAGTGTTTTGAGCACCTCTTTTCATATTCTCTTGCTCATTACGTCATAAGTCTTCTAAAATACCATATCTCTCCCTCCTCCACTCTCTGTTTTCCGTCCTCCCTTCAACAACTTATCTCAACGATATTTATATTTTTTATTCCAGATACACAGTAGATTTGTCTGAATATGTAGACTGAAGGGTTACCTGCAAACAAAAAAAAGATTCAGCATACAAGTTTTATAAACTTAAAGCAGAAGAGGTGCGGCAGTTTCGAATTTGTCTGTTTAAGACAGCTGTCAAGAGTGATTTAGACACCGTACTAATTAAGCACATTACAAGGGCAAGTCGAATACGCAATGCTTCTGCAAGAAAATTCAGTCGTCCGGTTACTTGCAATTATTTCATTGAAGAAATGTCAATTAGCTAAAAGAGAAAAGTATGACATGCAAATTTCTTACATGCAATTACTCCTATCAAAAGGAAACGGCTGGTAAGAGTACATAAATGTTCACATTGTAGTGATGGCCTGCCAAAAGAGGGTCGATGTGGCGACAGAATACCTCACAAATCTTTTGCAAAAAAAGATAGTTGCAAAAAAGGATAGTAGAGACAGAAAAATCCATTACTTTTTTTTTTTTTTTTTTTTTTTTTTTATGTTGATTTTAGGTGCCCCAAGAAGTCCTTACGGTCTTATCACAGAGCACTGTGGAAGAGCATTTAATAGAAAGTTCACGCCTCCTTCCCAACCGATGTTGCAAAACTTGCCCAGAGGTGGGGTTTGAACCACGGATCTTACGTTTCTGAGGCAAGTGTGCTACCACTGCGCCACGGCCGCTATGTAAAAATATTACTGTAAAGGCAAAAGTGTCAGCATATATCTGCCGTTTGAATTAAAAGGTTGTATAAACTTGTTGAAGATGTGTAATAACTCTGCTGAAGAACGCAAGTTCTCGTATCAAATCTTTTACAAAAATTTTGTTTCTGAGTTTAGTGGTTTGCAAGTAGATGCATTTATCACTTGCAAAAAAATTGGTTATACCTCAGTCAAAAGTCCTGGTTGTAGCTGAACTTGAACTGTAAAGGAAATTTTATTTGCAGATGAAGACACATACAAGATGGTATACAATTTGAAGTAGGAACAAGTTCTACCTAAGATATCTGTTCAGAAGGCTTTCTATGCCAGACAGCTAGCTTTATACAATTTTTCAATTTGTGATACGCCTTCAGTTAATGTTATAAATGAATTAAGAGTAAAGCAGCACGAGGTTCAAATGAGATACCAAGTGCGCTGTACCACTTTCTTCGTAAGAATGTTAAAAGACACAGCAAGCAATTCAAACATTTTTACACCTGAAAAATGTTATAAGATATTCAAAATGCATGCTAATGAAGTGTTTTTTTAAGGTAAGGATTGGATATCGCATAATTTCAAAGCACCTGCAGCAGCAACATACAAACCGCTTGTTGGACTACAAGAACTTAAGAGAATACTCGTTCATTCGTATGAGTTAAAAAATTGTGTTATTACTTTAAGTGAAGAGAAAGATTATAATACAAGTTCAAACAATTATCAGTCACTATTAAAAGCCATAGCAAGTGACAGGTTCCTGACCTTTGTGTACAGCAAAACTTGCGGACATTAAAAACCTCTCTTATGTGACGTTTGATGAAAGCTGAGAAAGTGTTTCAGAGTTAGCTTCCTACAAGACCCTGACAGAAAGTAAATCTATTATTTATACAGATGATCCTAAAAACAACTGCAACTGCTGTACTGAAGATAACGTAGCGTAAGTTTGACAAAAGTTTAATATAGTGGTGTAGACTTTGTGCAAAGCAAGAAGCAGTTATTATAGTTTAAAGTATACTGGAGTGAAATAAAGACATGGTGACACCAATAGTAAATAATGCTGTGTATTACTAGTCATTATAGTAGTTCATTTTGTAATAATAGCGTTGTTATCAATAATGCTGAAAAAGTAATGGAAAACCAAACAATTCTTTATATATATATATATATATATATATATATATATATATATATATATATATATATATATATATATATATATATATATATATATATATATATGTATATATATATATATATATATATATATATATATATATATATATATATATATATATATATATATAAACTCTACAGGTAAATGAATTTATGATGGCTACAAGTAAATGAATCTAGGTTTTTAAATGAAATATTAAACGACGTTAAAACTCAATGTATATAATCAAATTAAACTCAAAAAAATTCTGTATAAATACCGACATAATTTGAATGACAAACTTATAATGCGCGTTAATACGAGAGCAAACAATATTACAACAATAAATGTTGGTATAAAAATTAAAATTGTTGCTTCAAACCACCGAAATAGTGTCCCCAAGTTCTCATCAGCAGCTTCAGGCGGCAAATCACTCACGTAACTGTATGCAAAGAACAAGTTAAAACTGCAGAAAAGTATTAAAATCACTGATGTCAAGGTTTCAAATATATTTGCAGCTTTTATGAGATACGGTCGAAAGTAAAGATGGTGCACAAGATACAAAGTACAAAGTAGTAATGCAAAATATAAACGGAAAACAGGGCTGCTAATAAATGTAAACGCAATAATAAGAATAAGACGTCTCGCAATTAAAGTGCCTTGCCAAAATGAAGGTTGTCTTATATAAACTAAATTTTTTCCTTCATATATATTATTTGCAGAATGTCTTGTGTTAGTAAACATAATGCCTTTATAAGGACTCTCAAGTTTATATAAAATCTCATTAATAGAAATTTTTTCTTCATCTTTGGAATAATCATCTGACTGTGTATAATGTTCTGATTTTATGCTTGCTATTAACTGATCTTTGTAAAACAAATGCATAGTTATTGTCCATATTAAATAACATAAAGGTAATGCCCATCCCAATACAAATTTATTATAACTAATTGCACCAATTTTCAGATGGACAATACTACAAACTAAAACAATTGGGAATGGAATAATCCATCCAATCACAAACGCAAATATAACAAATTGCCACCATCGAAAACATGTTATTGTTCCATCAATAAACAGGACATATTTATTACTGACAGGTACACAATTTAGTAGTGCTAATGACATTGACGTCAGAGTAGCGTACGCTATTAAAATAATCTGAATTGTTGCAACCTTTAGACGGACGCTGAATCTTATTGTTTGTTCTTTTTGGTAATCGTTCAAGACAAAAAACTTCAAAACATAAGATGTTGCATGAAGTAAAAGCATGACAAAAAGAACATAGCAAGCTAAAGATTGTAGAAATATCATTTTTGTAATTGCGTTTAACCCAGCAATGGGACAAATTGAAAAAGAAGAACTTGTTTGTATTGACAATGTAAATAAGCTACTAAATACTGAACGAAGACAACTCAAGATTTTGTCAAAAATTTCACTTTCTTGCATTCGTATGAGCAAAAACATTTGAAAGAAGTAAAAAGAGATATTTGTTATGTCTGTAAATATATCTGGCTCTTTCCTTCTGTTTTCATATTGAAACATGTTACAAGGTTTTTGAAATAAAGAGTTTGATGGTTCTGTTTTAATTTTTTCATTTTCATCACTACTGCTTCCAAAGTTTTCTTCGCTAGTTTCCGTAATTATTGTAACTTCTTTTTCAATTTTTAAAATTTCGTATTGATGTAAATCGTCATGCTTATAAATTTTTTTATCCCACCAAACAAGCTGCTCTTTAACAAATATACTTATCTTATCTAAGTACATAAATGTTATAATATAAGCTGTACCTAAAGCAATATATAAGGACCAAAACCATTTATCGTTACAATCTTTATGATCTATGCAGTTAGAGTTTATAAGATTTTCGCTGGTTCCTTTTTTACATTTGCCACACAAAGTACCAGTACGATTAGTGTTGCAAGAATCAAACTTTTCACAGTGAGTTCCCTTGCAACAGTAACCTACAGGACAAGGCAAAAAACGAACTTCATCACCTAATAAACCTGTTTTATACCCATAGTAGTTACCTTGAGGTCGAATGGAACCTTGATTACAAACACCACCGAACTTGCAATGGTGACATTGAACATATGTGCTTATGTTTTTGTATACTATTCCATTGTTTTGATATATATTTAGCTCACCTGAGGATAAACTATAATGGTTTGTAGGACACGATTCACATGTAAGCGTTAGTCTCTTTGTTTTGGTTAATAAATCTCTTTCAATACCGTAATAACTAATATTGTGACCTTCAGGACACCTGGCATTAAAATAACCAGCAACTATTATTGACCAATCTTCCTTTGTTGGACTTCCGGGGTGCCAAATGAATGCTCTAAACGAACCGGGCATAACTTTTGGTACCCAAGTAGTGTTAAAAAGCTCCGTTCCAGCGGTAGCATACAAAATATCACCTAATAAAGGCCTAATAAAGACATTGCTAGGGCCTATAAATAGACAGTTTAAGCATGAAAAAAATCCGCGTGTAAATATTGTTCCGCCAAAGCCAGAGCAAGTATTATTAATAAATGTGGAATAACTAACGATAACTTTCGAAAATTCCTCAGTGTATATAGCACCTCCAAAACCTTGCACTGATCCAAGATAATCGCCGACGGCATTGTTTGCAAAGTCAGAATGTTCAATATAAACCGTAATGCCATCAACATACATCGTCCCAAAAAATCTTTCAGCTTTGTTGTTTAAAAAAATGTTACCTTTTATCCAACATATAATTTCATCAGGCTGTTTTAAGTCAGCTTTTAGATGCAATGCAGATGCGAAGACCCCTCGATTTTTTATAAACTGGTTATCTCTTAAAAAAACATACGATGTGTTAGTTTTGACCATTCTGGCAAACTTTAAAATAATACATTGGCCATTGTTTTCTGAAAAAATGTTTTTTCTAATTTTGATATTATAAGTTCCATTCATTACTTTTATAGCGACACCTTTATTTGTATGTTCTATTGCACTTTCAATAATAGACACAATTAATTCCGAAAAAGATGTTATACTAATTGCATGAGAAACGGAATTTCTATATGAGTTGCTAGTAATTATAGTTGAAATGACCGTGATATTTGCACGGTTAACATTAGGAGAATAAATGAAGTAACTAACAAAAATGATTTCAGAATACTTGATTACAAGAGAATGAAGAGTCTGATCGGTGTATTCAGTCAATACAGCAGTACAAATATCTCTAAACACGCAGTTATGAATATTTAAATTAGCGTTTATGGTATGAAAAAATCCACTATTTCCAGGGATACAAGTTGATTGTTCATTATAACTAGACTGGTAATTACTTGCAAATTCTAAGTTTGTAAAGTTTACTTCCATCACACTACTATTTCCAACTATCCTGAATGCAAACTGGTTGAAATTACATAATATCTTCGGCCGATAGACAACCCCAATAACTGAAATTGATGCTGTAATGAAGTTATCATGCAGACTATTACAAATATGAAACTCTTCATGCAAAAATTGAGATCTTATATTGATTTCATCTTCAGGTTTAGCCATATTTATTACGTAGTTTATAGATAAGCAAGGTGTATCAATTAATCCGCATTCAAAGGTGTCTCGTCCTGAATTTGCAACATTCCATACTCCTAAAAAGTAAGGTATTTTGAAACTTAAACATCAAAAAAATTAAATACAAAATAAACTTTTTTTACATGTATTAATAAAGACGGTGGACCCGTGACACATGAACGTCATTTGAGTGATAAAGTTGACTCGCGTAGATTGAAAAAATGACTCAATGCGTTTTACTTTAAATAAGTCTTGAATCATCAACGCCAGCTGCTTTTGAAAGTTCTAATAAAAATAGATTTTCCTTATATTAGGGAAGGAGGATGTAAAAACTAACATCACATATTTATCTTTGAAGAATTATACCAGTTTTTTAGTAATTTTTCTTTTTCTTTTGTTGTTTAATGTTAGGTTTTAGTATTAGAGTAAAACGTTACTGTCAGGACCAGATCTAGAACTCAGTGGTCGTTAGTCAGGACCAGATCTAGAGTTCAGTGGTCGTTAGTCAGGACCAGATCTAGAATTCAGTGGTGGTTAGAAATTAGCGAGGGTAGAAATATCTCCTTACTTTAGGTGATACTTGATCATCGTCATATAAAACGGTTTTTATTACTTATGATTTCTCCGCAAATTTTTTACGTGTAACTTTGGTTTCAATTCATTAAAAAAATATTATTTTAAGGTACATAACGCAATCAATAATTTATATGTTTCATTATTCAATAACTCATTTTATAAAAAAAAGATAGAACAAGATCATTCTAATCTCGCATATTATAGAAGGGATACTAAGAATTAAGTTTTGAAGGTAGTATTCCCTTCCCAAGAGTGTGTAAGAGATGTCTACGGCATTATTTAACGTATTATAAACAATGTCTACGGCATTGTTTAACGTATTATAAAAGGTTTAGTGAGTTGGTGTTAAAATTGGCTTAACCTCAGCGTGCAAATTTAATTACGCCCAACAATTTTGTAAAAATTACATACCCCATACTTTTAAATTATTAGTTGTTTAACAATAAGCTTTAATTTAACAATAAGCTTTAACAATAATCTTCGGTTTTAGTTTAAAAAAAAAACAAAAAAAAACAAGAAGTTCAATAAACAAGAGGAATGTCTTTCAATTACAATGATGCGAGAACTTGTTCAAGCCTCTGTCAGAGGCTTGAAGTGATGCGAGAACTTGAGAGAACTAATAAACATATATCAATTGCGAAATGATGCAAGAACTTGAGAGAACTTGTGAAAACTGATGAATATCAATTACAATAATGAGAGAAATAATAAACATGTATTAATTACAATGAAGCGAGAACTTGCAAAAACTAGTAAACATGTATCAATTACAAAAATGCGAGAACTTGAGAGAACTTGCGAGAACTAATGAATATGTATAAATTACAATAATGCGTGAACTAACAAACATGTATCAACTACAGTAAAGCAAGAACTAATGAACATGTACCAGTTACAATGATTAGAAAACTTGAAGAACTAAAAAACATATCACAATTACAATGATTAGGGAACTTGAAGAACTAATAAACATATTACATTTATAAAGATGCGAGAACTAATGAGCATGTCCATTATTTTAGAAATACCTAGAAAAGTACTTGAAATCTATAAAACCTGCATTTATTTTATAAATCAACTTACTCCAAGCAATTTGATGCAACTTATCCCGTGGGCATCATTACCAATCTAATCAATGTATGTAATTATTGACACGTAATAATCTACCCTTTTTTATGTTTTTTAGTTTGAATAAGATTTTTTTTAGTTTGAATAAGATTTTTTTAACTTACGATTATTTTATTATGGTCATATATTTTTAAGTTTACAGTAAAACTAAAAAAAAAAAACTTTGAAAACGAAAATTCAAATTTTATATCTTAAATAAAACATAGAATTATATGATAAAAAAAAATTATCAATAACTTTTTAAATTTTTAATTTATACTATACTAAGCTTTTATAATTAATTAATTTTTATATATAATATAAATATAGTTATATAATGTAAAAAAAAATGTATATCCATAAGAGTTATGACATTTTCTCCTTTACAATCTAATACCCAAAATAAGTTTTTTGAGTTAAAAGTTCTTAAACTTCAAGATCTTATAGAGTTTTATAACAGTCTTTTTGTGTTCGATTTTCTCCAAATAATCTTTAAATAAGTTTTTCTAGGAAACACATAGTGATTCCTAGAAAGACGTTAGTGATTTACATTAATATTAAAACGGAAATACAGAAAATGGTATATAAGACTGTCAAGTATAATAATCTATCCATAAAACACCAATTTATTTCTCACTTAAACCAATCATTGCCATTTATAGAAAAAAAGATTTTAACAAAATATCCTTTTATTAACAGCCTTTTTGTTTTCAATAGAAACTATTTGTTCTCATTAAAAACTATTTGAGAATATATTTAACAAATATTAGTTATATCTTTTATTATTATTGCTTTAAAATATTACTGCATTAATACTGAAAAAACTATTATTATTTTTATCTTACCCTGTTACTTTCTTACGATTATTATTATCATTGTTTGCTTATAGTGTGATGAGAAAATGGACAAAAAAACTCTTGCTAACTCATAGATTGATAAAACACTCACAAACCCAAGCAAAAACTACATAATAATTTTTTTTTCAAATAAAAATTAATTTAAAAAAATTTATAAATACAAATACTTTTATACCAATCTTATCAAAAGAAACAAAAAAAAAGGTTATTTGAGTACAAAACTTACTAAGTGTAAGCAAGATAGTAAAAAAACATGGTCAATAATCTATTATTTATTAACATATTATGAAAAAATAAAAATAAAATTTCTTTATTATTAAAACGAATTAGTACCCCGAATTATGATATGTTCTGTCTTAATAAAAATTCTAAAGAGTTTAGCATATATTTCACAAATGTTTGACTTGATCTTGCTAACAAAATTACACCTTCATCTAATTCTTTTAAAACATATCAAGCATTGCCGAATGACATGGATTTGACTTGAGATTAAAAGAATTCGAAAAAGTTTTTTATTCCATAAAAAAAAACAAATAATCAGAATTTGACGATATACCCAATAATATACTAATTTCAAACAAGAATAGACCGTTATTTTATAAAGTCTTTTTTTCTTTTTTTAATTTTCTTTTATTTTGCTGTTTATATAAATTACAATACTCTTTCACAAAAATATATTTTTAATTACAAATGTATAAATAATAAACAGACAGGAGCTTAAGAAAGCTATGGATAGCAATATATCAACCTAATCTTTTCATTGAGCCCTTTCATATTTATCTGATATATGTTTATTATTTTCATATCCATCATTAGTTAAACTTTCTTCTGATCGAAAAGTGTTTTATGATTTACTAAAACTAGCAAAGGTAATTTCAATTAACAAAAGTTATTCAAAAATTTCAATTTATAAAAATACTGATCATTCTATTACTTCCAACTACATTTTAAAAAAATAATCCAACTGAACATGCAATTATTGAATAAGTACATTAAATAAATAATCGCTTTAACGAAAACAAGTTTCTTTTAGGCCTATTTATTGTTTTAACAAAAGTTTTTCACACCGTTGATCACTGGGGTTTTTTTTGTTGTTTTTTTCTAGAAAAGTTGAAGCATTATGGGGTAACTAATAAGATCTACTATTGGTCTATATTACTTTACTGATAAAAAAAACAAACAATATGTTCGAAATAAAGAATACGGAATACTTATTGAATAAGTATTCAATACGTATTGAATAAGGATCTATACTAGTCCCTCTCTTAATCTTAGTTATATAAACAACTTAAATATTGCATCAGTTAGGATAAACCAAATTATGCTTGCAAAGGGTCCAAATCATTTTCTTTTCAGCCATAGTATCAAGCAACTTTATGCAGACGTGAACTTTGAATTAATTAAGATAAATGATTTCCAACAAATAAACTCTCATTAAAGGTTAAAAAAACAAATAATACATAATTTTATAAAAATTGCACGAAGATAACTCCTCTTAAATTATTAAATCTATTTTTTAATAATAAAGATATAAAGCAGGTAACCTAGATAAATTTTTTCAGGAATACTTTTTGACAAGCATTTATCATGGCTTCCTTATATTGAATATCTACAATCTAAAGTTTGTGAAATAGTTAGTGTGATGTACACACCCTATCAAATGCACGACCAACCTCATTTAAAAGGACCAAAAAAATCTTTCAATCGAAGATATATAAAGACCTTATAAATACATTTAGAGGTGGTTTTAAAGTCTTTTAATTTTGACAACCCCCCTTCCCAATTGAGGTAGTAGGAAACTTTACGTCATCTCTTCAAAACGTTAAAACATTTTTTGAAGAAATTTGAATTCTATTGATAAATTTTAATTTGATTTAAGAATATACAAAAAAGTTTCAAAATTATTGTTTTCCTCACAACCACTAGATATGTGGTCTAGAAATGAATAAAAACCATGAAGTATTTTTGCTCCCAACTTCTACTTAAAGTAACTTTTTTTTAAATACCATCTTCAATTGGTACTAATATAAATATACAATGTTTGAAACTTGGAAATTTCCCACAAATTATCTCAAGCACATAAAAAAAACAGCTTTTCTCTTCCGTGCATGTATAATAAATATAAATTTAAAAAATCCATTAAACAAAAACTTTTTTTTTAAGAATTTGGCAATTGAAATAATTTTAAATAATTCTAAAAAAAGATAATTGCCGTTTTTAAAGTATACTTTCAGTAACGCCATTTGTTACTGAATTTTATTACAATTAGGCTCGATACTTGCCAGTAAGTATCGCCATAGCTAAATTATAAATAACAACATTAAAAACTACCTCATTTAGTAATTATTAAAAATAATGAAAATAACCTTACGCCTAATTTTCCAGACGTAAAAGTTTACGTTTTTTTTTATAAAGTATTTTACAGATTTTTTCATTTTATAAGCATTTATTTACCATTTTTACTATATTTTCCACTCAGAGGGAGAACAGGCGTTTTTTGTGGTTGAGGTTCAAACATTGTATGTTTATACTAGTACCAATTGAGACTTGTTTTTTGTTTTTTTTAAATAGTGTAAATAGAGGTTGGGAAAACAACTGCTTTATAGATTTTCCCCAGGCCCCTCACACCCAATCTAGTAGGTGTGATAGGAACAACAGTTTCTAAAAAATTTTTGTGCGTTCTTGAATAAAAATTTATCAATAGAATTTGTAAATTTGATAAAATCTTAATTGAAAAGTGTTTAAAAAAACAACAACACTAAATTAAAAAACTCATGCGTTCTCGGAAATTTCCATATTACTGTCTGTATTATTTTCGATACTAATTTGTTATATAGATTTAATTATAAAAATATAAGTATAATTTGTTATATAAATAGGGTCCGCGATAAGAAATAGGAAAAAATTTTGTTTTGATTGGGGCTATAATAAAGTTATCAGTTATTCATGTTTTAATTTTATTCGTATTTTCATATTATAATGTACAATGGTTATAACAGTGACGGATAAAGGAATTTTTGATGTGTGTTACGTGTCTAGGGTTGGGGGGTGAGGAGGGGGGTGTGGATGTTAGAATATTTTTACATTTTGTAACACATTTACGTCTCCTAAAAAAAACATCCTTAATTTCTAAGATATTTTAAGACTCAGATTTTGGTGGTGAAGGATGCATACCCTCCATCCCTCTCCCTGGATCAGCCACAGGATTCTAACTATTTATAACTCAAGAATAAAATATCATAAATAAATTTTTTGTTTCTGCCGTTATAATTTTTTTTTAATTATATAATACCAGTTTTTTAAATTGTAATCGTGCTTTACTGCATCAATTTTAAAAACTATAAAGAAAAAAAATCTAGTTAATAAAAAAGAAAACAAAAAAAATTAAAATAAAACAAAAATAAAACAAAAAAAAAAGAAGCACTAAGACTAAACACATTTATGATAAACAAAATATGTCAAACATCTGAATCCTGTTGAGCAATTTTTTTTTAACTTTCTACAGTATATCGTCGATATGCAAGGGAAATGCACTGTCTAAAAACATTTTTTTAAGAACAACAAAATTTTTGCGTAAAAGTTAAAAATAATAAGTTTTTGTGTAATAGTGGAAATAAACAATCTTAATAAATCATTAATAATTGATTGATTAAATTCATGTGGTATATAAACGATAGAGAATTTAAAATACTAAATAGTGGTTTAAATAACTTCATACTGCCAAAAATGTACTAAGTGCATTTTCCTTGTATAGCGACGATATACTTTGTTGTTCATAAACAAAATAAATAACAATTCATTTTACATCGTAAATATCAATAAATATTAATTTTTAAAACCAGATCGGGACTCAAAAAAGATATGGATGATTCAATACCACCTCAATGTTTACATATTGTCTTTTAGTATAATAAAATACTGTCAAAATAGTTGTTGTATCCATTAAAAATATAGAACTAATAAATGATACTAATGATATAATAAGAAAGTAAATAAGATTAATTGGATTTATTAATACATTTATCCATGAAAGTTAGGTGCTGGTGAATACTTAAACTCGTCATTTTATATAAACTCGTCATTATCTCTCATTAAGGGTTTACTCCTCTCTTTTTTTCCGGTATGCAATTCTACACGCATGTTTTTGTAAACTAAGTATTTGTTTAGTTTTGTTGTTTGAATACTATTTCATGTAATATTAGCATAGTTAATAAACTTAAGATAATTATATTAATTTTAGTGTTTACCTATGAACAAACTCGGCAAACCAGGCCAAGTATCTTACTAGATTCGATATTTAAAATTTAATATAGAAAATCTAATTAATTTTCGTCAATAATATATATTTTTTTCTTTCTTTACAATAGTTTTTTTTTCTTTTTACTCATAATAGTTTGTTAATGTACTTAAGTTTGTTGTACATAAATAATAAAAGAACACAGATACCCGTAGAGGAGCTACACAGACACCTGTAGAGTATCCCTGTGTACAATAACTAACTATTTGTGAAATAAATTAAAAATTCTTCTCAAATGAAAAAAAAAGCAAAGAAATATAAGATTTCATTAAAGTTACCCGACTAATCACATTTTGCATTATGCGTTTTGCAACTATATTGGGTTTGCATTGACCCAAATACAACTTTCGATTATTGGCTCAGCTAACTGATACAGTTGTTAAAGTTAAACCTGTCATTCTAGTTAAAGTTAAATCTGTCATCTCTAGTTTTTGATATTTGGTTTTTGTAAAGCGATTGAGAAAAATAAACCACGATACTAAATAGAATATATAACAGAATACTAAACAGAATATATTGCTGAAAAACTTATTTTTTTAAGCAGTTTGAACCTCTGATTGATAACTTTTTTCAGTAAGAGTTTTTATGCAGAATAATCCATAAATTTTGAAAGGTTGAGAAGTATGAAGTATTACTAAAATATTTCAATGTCATAATTACATATCAATAGCTACATAACGTATCTACAAAACATAGCAATGTAAATATCTTAGCAACATCGTCATTATTTTTATCTTTATGCAGCAAAAAAACTTGTTGCAATTTTTGCTGCATAAGTTTCCCTCGTAAATTTTTTATGATTTTTAGCTATAATGACATCTAAATATAATATAGAAATAATTCTTTTTATTTAAATACTATTATAAAGTAGAAGTATGTTGCTCAAAAGTATATATTTTTAAAAAGCTCAAGGGAAGTGAGTCTGTTTAGTTTTTTCAAAATTGAGTGAAAACTTATTTGATTTCAGAGATTTTTTTGAATTCTTTCCATTAAAAAGTTTATTGATACTATTATGAGAGAGGAAAATATTTGTATCATTAGCAAACAAATTCGTGTAAGTCTTTGTAAAATTTCAATGGTTATACTATAAAAATCAGATGGATTACTTGGAAGCCCACAGATAATGTTTAGGAAAATCTTCTGGAAAAATTGCTAGCAACAGCTTAAATAAGTTTTTAATAGGATTAAAACTTTTGCCAGTAACTCTATAATGTTAAATAATTTTTCGTTTAAATTATTTAGGATTATGACATTACTGGTAAAGCATGATCAATAATGTCAAAACTGCCTTTAAGCGTGTAATGACACTTAAGCTTTCTATCTTTTCAAAGGAACCAATTACTCTTTGATTAAGTGACATTATTGTATTTTCAGTAGCTTTTTTTTAACCTTATTGATTATTCTAGAGTACACTTTTTACAGCTAGATAATTGAATATTTGATTGAACAAAATTCTAAAATTTTAAAGATAACTGATATTGGTCGATAAACAGTGACGGATCCAGAATTTTTTGGTGTTTGAAAAACTCCAAACATACATATGTTTATACTTATGTCAAATAATGGTGGTTTGCTAAAAATTGCGATGATTGGAGGTTGGGAACAAAAACGCCTTTTAATTTTAATTTTTTGCTCTTTAATTTATTGATGAGTATTAGTCTAGTTGAGAATAGTACAAAAAATATTTTATTAACTTGTTACCCGTCACGCTTGGGGTTGGGAGGGTGATAAAATTAAATGGTTTTTCTGTTCCCAACCTCCAATCATCGCAATTTTTTGCAAAGCATTATTATTTGACATTAGTATAAACATACAAACACCAAAAATTCTGGATACGTCACTGTTGATAATCACTCGCATTTAATAGTTTACCACCTTTAAATATTAGCAGTTTTCATTATTTTTTTATTGGTTTTAGAAAATTCCTTGATTATTCAAGCATTTGAAAACTTTAAAAATGATATCTTATATAGTATCTTTTTAATCTATAACTATGTTATAGATTAAAAAGATACTATATAAGATTATATATATCTTCAGGACCAACTGCTCAGCTAACTTCGTTAAGTTGTTAACTGCATTTATCATACTTGGAATGTTTTTAAATAAATTAGATACAACAGATACAAATAATTTTTTTATGTCACCTTTTTGTTTAGGCTCATACAAAAATAGGCCGTTAACTTTTTTTGTATAGGGATCAAGCATAATTTAATTCATTATTAAAGTAGAATAGATTGTGCTGATCTAAGAGTAATCATTCCAATTTACGTAGAACTTATAATTGTAAAAAATATATTGTAATTTTAGTTACTAAAAACAATTAAAATTATTTAATTAAAAGTAATTAAAATTTCATTTAATTTATTTTTGAATTAGTTAGCGTTAGTTCCATCTTTAGTTACTTGTTCAAAATTATTTCAGTCGTTTACCACTCTGTTGCTGAAAAAAATATGACTTTAATATTTACTGTTGATTGCATACTTGGTTTAACATTGCATTTAGTTTCGTTCGTTGTTTAGCAATTTTGGTTGTTGGTAAAAGTGTATAGTTATTGTGTTCATTGAAAAATATGAATGAAATTATTAAATTCCCCTTTCTACTTCTATCTCCTTCTTTCTTCTATTTTCTCTATTTATTTATTTTTATGGCTCTATAAATGTCGTCATAATATATATGAATTAACTTTAATTATTATAATTTAATTTTACTTTATTTATTAACCTAATTATGTTAAATGAGACTTTAGTCTCATTTATATAAATAATAATAATAATAATGACTTTTTTAATCAACTAATAAAAACTTGATGTGTTAAGATAATTTTATTGGTTTATAATCTTATCGGATTAGTTTTGTAAGATTAAATTTAACTTACGAGACAAAATGATTTTTAAAAAACCAAGTAACACCAGCTTGTTTATTGTTAGAAACATCTAGGTTTTCACTAAAATTGCAATCCGCTGTAAACATAATATATGTATTTCAAACTAGTTTGATGTACAAAGAAATGAGATTTAAGTAATGCTTGATTGATTTTAGAAAAAAATTACGCATATATTATCATATGCTAGCATATATTAAAATATAATATATTATAATATATGCTAACATATTATGCTAGCATATGCATGTTAGTATATATATGCAGGAGCGGATCTAGGCTGTAGATAGAGTAGCAATTGCTACAGCCAGCTCAGTTTTTTTTTCTATTTTTATTTGTTGCATACATATCGTTTTTCATGCAAAAGCGAAAAATAATTTAAACAAGATATGGTGGTTACAAGTAGTCAAAATGCAGCGCTTCAAAAATTTATTTAAAATTGTAGCTGAGTCAAGTTGGCTATGTTACGGAAATATTTCATTCGGAAAAATGAAATGCTTCACTGACAACCCATGATTTTAACAGGTTTTTTCTCACAAGCCCATTCATTTTTGAAAAAATGTTAAAAATTTTGCAGCGTATCAACTTAAATTAGACTGGGAGTTTAATAAAATGGCATATCGACTGTAACAACTATAGCAAAAGTCAATTTTTCATGTTTTGAAGCGACTTTAATGCATACCCCGATAATTTATTATATATTTTAGCTATTATAGCGAGAGCCTGTGTAGCATAGACAGAAATTCTGTTAAAAAAAACTTTTTTTATTGAAGTGGATAACTATCGTTAAATAAAAGCGATAATTTTTTAATTATAAAGACTAAATAGCGTCTGTCGGTTTGCTTATACTTCTTTCTTATTTAGTCTATTATGAAAATGGTGAAACTTGTTTATATTTATGAAAAATAGTGAAATGTGTAAATTTGAAAAATAGTTGAAATGTGTTCAAAGAAGTTAAACAATTTAAAAGCGTTTTAAAAAATTTATAGACTTCCTAGAGACAAAGAGAAGAATACACGTTGAATATAATGTTTACTTAACGCGAATTTTTAACGTCTAACAACACTTTAGTATATGATCTGGTTGGCATCAAAATTTTAAAAAGATTAAACTAAAATAACATTTTGCACAATTTTCCTCTCAGATCGATTTTTAGTTTATTCTAAAATTGCAATGAACTTTCTACTACTTCTTTTTTCTACTTCGACAATTTCTACTAGGAACTATCATTCTCTGTGACAAAGTGTATGCTACAAAAATGTTATTGTATCAGAAAGTTGCCGTTTTTGGAAAACCAATAAAATAAATTCTCATTTAAAAAGTGTTTTAGATGTTATGATAACTTGTAATACAAGTTGTATGTTTGATGGTCTATTGAAAGTGTTGTGAAAACCTGTAAAAAATAAATTCCTAATTTTTATGTGATCAAATTTATTTAACTCTAGAATCATTAAGAAAGTCAAATAACAAAGCAAAGGCAATTATATGTGATAAAAATCTAACTCTAACATTTTATAAATAAATCTTTGTTAACTACAGATAGAACTGTAGTTTGAATTTTGTCCACGTTATCAAAAACATATGAAATAATGGGCTCAGCAAGCAAATGTTTTTTTCTCACAATACTTACAATGCTCTTCTAGAAGAGCATTGTAAGTATTGTGAGAAAAAAACATTTGAGGTGTTAGAAGTTTCAGGGTGATTAAGAATTCTTAATCACCCTGAAACTTCTAACACCTCAAATGTTGACAAGACTAGTGATTTTATTAAACTTGCTGTCACATAATGGAAAACTTTTAATCTAAATATTATCATATATTTCAGGTTTAATAATGATTAACACGCATGCTCAGAGATTTAAATGATAAAAAAAGTTTCTTTTGAATTTTGGTATTTGTACAAATATACTTATTTAAGAGGTTATACCATTATAGGAACCTGATCATTTTTTTTTTTTTTTTTTAATTTATTTTTTGCCGTTGATAAATATTACAAAAAAGAAATTACAATAAAAGAAAATCCTGGCCGGAGCAAGAAGAAGACAAGTTGTCTTATCACCGAGCCCTGTCACACAAAAATTTACATGCACAATGAATGATAAAAACAAAAAAACAGTACAAATACAAAAACAAAAACTTCAGCAAAAAAATAATTTGTTGCTAACAATCTTCCAGCAGAATAATTTTAAAAATAAAAAAGTAAAAACGACAGAAAATCATGAAAGTTATAAAAACACAAAAAAAAAATGCGTTGTTTAATTAAAAAAAAAAAACAATATATGTAAACATAAGTATTTGGGCTGATTATTTAGTATTATCAAAAATATCAACGAAAAAGATAACGAAAATTTTATTTTCGTTATCTTTTATACTAATGGTTTGAAACCATTTTAATAAAAGCTAAAGAAAGTGTTAAAGATTTAGGTTTAAACCTTTAAATTGTTTTCAAAAAAGGTATTTGAAATCTAATATATCGAATTCCATGTTCAGTAAATGCCGTTTTGAATCATTCATAAAACTTTGCAAAGTGCAGTTTAAAATGAAGCTTTGTTTTTTATTGAAGATTTTTTTTTGTTTTTTATTGAAGAAATTTTTTCCAAACTAAAGGTCCCCGATATTTAATTTGTACAAACTCAATTTAAGAAGGTTTATGGGAACCACAAAGTTATTCACTGAAAATTTGATTGGATATTTATGGGAGACTTCATTAAAGTAGGATTGAAATGTTACTGGAGAAAACCCAAGTTTTGCTTTAAACATAAATAACATTACTTGATGAATATTAAGCTTATAAATATTTAAAGCTCCAAACTGACGTAAGAGAGGTTTGCATTGTGTTTTTCTATTTGCCCCAAATACTATCTGCAAGCATGTTTTTGTTTACTATAAATTTTTTTGAGTTTAGTGTAATTAGTGCTACCCCAGGAAATGCTACAGTATGAAAGATGGCTGTGTATAAACAAAAAATATAAATTTTTTAAAGACTCATTATTAAGAAAAGATTTTGTTCGATATAACATGGCAATATTTTTTGAGATCTTACCTTCAATATATTTATTATAAAATTTCCATGACAATTTTTCATCTAAGAGCACTCCCAGAAAGTTTGTAGTAGATTCCCTTTTAATTGAAGACCGACTGAGAAGAAATAACTTGCGCCTTGAAGGAATAACGGAGAGCGAATCTGAAAGTTGGAATGAATCTGAAGAAAAAGTTGTAAGTATTTTTGAAAACAAACTAAATGTAAGTGACGTGGTTATTGAAAGGGCACATAGAACCGGAAAAACTGGGCAAAGTAAACCTAGATCAATCGTGATAAAACTTCTGAACTACAAAGATAAAGTTAACATATTAAAAAACTTGAAAAAATTAAAAGGAACAGGAATATTTATAAACGAAGATTATTCTTTGGATACCTTAAACATACGAAAAACTCTTTTTGAAAAAATGCGAACTCACAGGACAAATGGTAAGTATTCTGTCGTTATTTATGATAAATTAGTAGTTAAAGATTTTAAAAAATCACTTAAAAAAGCCTAAAGCTTATATATTTTTTATATTTTGTATTTTAAATATTAATCTTAGTTAATATTGCTAAAATGGCGGAAGCTATCAATAATATTGTTTTTGGCATACCAGGAAGGAAAAATACACTTAACCGAATTAATGAAGATGATAAAAACAATAACTTTTTTGACGATATTTTAGTAGAAACGGCTTATTACAATGTTGACGATGTTAAAGATGTTTTTAATTCTTCATCATCTAATTTTTCATTATTACATTTAAACATCAGAAGCATAAATAAAAACTTTGAAAATTTAAAATTAATGTTAAATAATATAAAAAATAAGTACAGTATTATCTGTCTGACAGAAACTTGGAGTCATCGAGACACGATTAATTCTAACTTTCAATTATCGGGATATAAACCCATACATCAACCGAGAGAAAACGGCATTGGTGGGGGCGTATCTATTTTTGTCCAAAACAGCGTTTTTCCATAATCAACAAGCCAACACGCGTGACTAAAACAACTGCATCCATTATCGATAATATTATTACAAATAATTACACAAGGGCTAAAATGCAAAGTGGTATTATTAAAACAGATATCACTGATCATTTTCCAGGTTTTCTGATCACAGATTCGGCAACCCCTAAGAAAAAAATAGAAACAAAAACTATTTATGTAAGAAACATAAATAATGAATCAATCGTCACTTTTCGCGACCTCCTACAAGAAATAAACTGGGAACTATTGACTGATTGCAATGATGTAAATAATGGCTATGATTTTTTTATTCGCGTGTTTACTAAACAATACGAAAAAGCCTTTCCAAAAGTTAAAAAAATTATTAATTCTAAAAATTTGCTTAGTCCGTGGATGACGAAAGGACTCATTAAGTCATCAAAAAAGAAACAAAAACTTTACCAAAAATTTAAAAAAAAAAAAGAGAACTACAAAAATGAAATAAAATACAAAAAATATAAAAATTCTTTCGAAAAGTTAAAAAAACAATCAAAAAAAAATTACTACTCCTTATTGCTTAATAAAACATTTGGAAATGCAAGAAAAACATGGAATGTAATTAAAGAAATAACAGGCGTAGGAAATGTAAAAATTGATAATTTCCCAAAAAGATTGCAAAGAGATGGTAGTATAAGAGATGCTTTTGTAAATAAAGAAATTGCAGAAACATTTAATGACTTTTTTATAAATATAGGGAAAAAACTAGCCAGTGCAATTCCTGAGGGGAGTAAATCGTTTGAATCCTTTTTGAAAAAATCAGATTCTATAATGGATGAGTCGGAACTTCTGGTTGATGAACTTCGGTTAGCAATTAGTATGTTGAAAACAAATAAGAGTGCGGGTCTAGATGAAATTAACCCCGATGTTGTAAAAGCAGTCTCTGATATTATTGAGAAACCTCTTTTTATAATTTTTAATCTTTCCCTAAGAAACGGCATTTTTCCTGACCAACTAAAACTAGCAAAAATAATTTCAATATACAAAAGCGGTGATGATTCGATAAAATCTAACTATAGACCAATTTCCATACTTTCCTGTTTTTCTAAAATACTAGAGCGTATTATGCACAACA